CCCCCCCTCCCCAATTGCAACCTCAGCTGGCAAAGATGGCCTGGCACGCCAAGAGGAAGGCAGCAGCAGAAAAGATTTTCTTCTTCACCATCTTGCTGTGGGTGCTCTCCAGGCTGACGATCCTGCCCTTCGGGTAAATCATAGTTTTCTTCACTGTTTAACCCTTTCATTGCCAGGCCAGTGACTTGGGTAATCAAGTAGGTCTTGGAGTAAAGGTAGGAGCAAACATAAATCTCGGTTTAATGGTGTTTTCTTTGTCTTATTTAATTTTGTACGCTTTAACTCCTTCTACTTCTGGACTGTCCTACCCCTGCTTTATAATCCAACCACAGAGCCCTAGACAGTCGCGAGGTAGGCAGTGAAAGGGTTAAACAAAACATTTTGTTTGGTGGTTGGAGGGCACCACTGGTAGGTCCTACTTCTTTACTTTCCCTCTGCTGCTTTTCTCTGTCTGTTTTACTTTTTCCACAGCACTAAAATAATGACATGACCATTGTGCCAATATGCTTCTCTTTACTCAGTCAATCTTGAGGTGGGCTTTCGTATTAAAAAATTATTTTTTTTCTCATTTGAAATGGGGGAAAAGGGGAAAAAATGGGGGAGGGGGGGGGGCCTCACTCTGTGAACTTCTCTCCACGATTGCAGCGTCAGCACAACGACCACAACACGCTGTCACATCAAAGAGACACAAGAGCGAACCGACCACAACAATAATGGGTGTAGTATGTACTTTCGCGTAGGCTTTCAAACGGAAATATGAGAAGCTCCTGTAACATGAATCCACGCTGTGATCGCCAGGCTTAGAACAGCTAGACTCTTCTTGTCAAGAGGAGCGAAACTGATCAAGGACGAAAACTTTTATTGATCTGGGATGAGAGATGTAGACACTTAAAGTGGTGACATTGTATAGATATTTTTTAACAAAACGGTCAACGCGCGCGTGCGCACGCATACACACACACACAACACACACACGCGCGCGCGCGCATGCGCACATACACACACACACACACTCCCCCCTCCCGACTCACGCACACCACTTTATACAAATAGACAAAAAGATCCAAGCACACGCACATAAACACTCACACATTTCAAGCTCTCTCAACCTCCACCACCCCTGTCTATTGAATCTTCCTGTCTGTCTGTCTGTCTGTCTGTCTGTCTGTCTGTCTGTCTGTCTGTCTGTC